AGAAGAAATCCGTGGCCTAATTGTTGAAAAACGCAGGACAAGAGCTAGATACACCACTTCTCCCGCCTTCCTTCACATTAATCAGCGTACAGCAAGCTAGCAAATTCCTTAAAAAAAAACGTTGCGAAACACAAAGCAAATGCTTTTGAACAAAAATTAAACAGTCTATCTACTTCTGATGGTTGACTTTGGAGAGAAACCAAACAGCTCCTAAAATATAAATCCCTTTCTTCTCCACTAAGAAAAGTTGACAATTTCTTCGCTTATCGAATATTTTTTAACCTCACGCTGATATTCAGGACCCCCTTCATATAGAGAATGTTAAAAAAATTTTAGACTCTCCGTTACCAATTGAACCTCCTCTTAGATACACCACATCAAACGAGATCAAAAATATAATTCTCAAGCACTCAAATAAAACATCTCTTGGTTTTCACCTAATAACAGCCGAGGTTGCAAAATGTCTACCAAAAAAAGCAATAATCCTTTAACTTATATATCCAATGCTATTTTTTTGCCTTTAATATTTCCTTTCCCTCTTATGTGGAAATGTCCACACATTATTATGTTTGCCATATAAACCTTCGGATTCTTATGATTCTTATAGACCCATTAGCTTCTTACCATTTTTCTCAAAAATGTGTGGAAGGCTTGTAATAATCTGACTACGCTCGGTTGATGGTGTTGGAAATAAATGAACAAGAGTTTGACTTTTCTTTATAATTTGAATACTTTTTATTTAATTAACACAAAACACAATAAATTTACTAAGTCCAAATGACTATTTAAAATAATGAAGACTAGCGAGATGTGACTTTAGTGTCCTAGCTCCTAGCTCTTCGTTGATGTTAGTTCGCCTAGTTCGGTGTCGCTGGTCCGTCTGCCGAAGCCTATTCGTGAGACGTTTTTATAATGGCTATACTTGGATCATATCCCTGCCTATAATCCTACTACTTTACCATATAAGGTCATACCGTGGGCGTCCACGCGCTGCACACGCCGGATGTCCCTTGCTTATCTGGTCGTTGTCATCTCTACAGAGGCAACACAACACTTTTTAGTGTGAACTATTTTAATAATATTCATATAAGTAGTTATTTATCTATGAACATATACGTTTCGAGGCCACGCGCAATTTATCATAATGAATAGGCGCTTTGTAGGCCTCCCTCAATTATTATAAATATAGAGTTCTTGTCCAGGTTATTTATAATATTTTAACAAAGTCACAGCTCGCTACAGGCTTATTCTTCGGCGGCTATCCCCTCATGTTATCTCAAATATCTCCCTTCATCTCAATTTGGTTTTCGAGCTAAACACAACACAATTCAGCAAGTTTACCGTTTGGTGGATGCAATATCCACCTCTTTCAAATGTAAACAATACTGTTCCTGTGTCTTTCTCGACATTTCCAGAAATTCGATCGTGTATGACAAGACGGCCTACTTTTCAAACTTCGTAACTTTCTCTCCTCTTCCTTATTTCTTTCAAACAAATCATGCTTAATTGATCGATTTTTTCTAATTCACATTGGCTCCTGTACCTCTCAAATGGCTATAATCAATGCAGGCGTATCCCAAGTTGATATTCTATCTCCATAATTATTCAACATCTATGCCTCCGATCAACCTGTCTTCGAAAACACTCTTGTTGCCGACTACGAAGACAATAAAGCTGTAATTTCAATCCATGAAAATCCTATAATGGACTTACACGATCTTCAAACAAACTTAAATCTTATATCTTCGTGGTACACAAAATGGAGAGTAAAATTGAACCACAGCAAATTAATACACACCACCCTTACATGACAACACGGACTCTGCCCATCAGTTTCAGCAAATAACATACCTATAGCTTCATCCGATAAAGTGAAATATTTAGGCCTTACCTTAGACAAAAGATTAACACACATCAGATCCAAAAGTGAAAAGATTAATATTAAACTCTCTTTCTCGTATGCTCAAAACTATGTTAGTAAAAAACAAATGCACTAGTCAAACAAATAAACTTTTAATCTACAAAACATTCTTTAAACCTATCTGGACTTACGGTATTCAATTATGGGGTGCGGCAAAAATATCGAATCTAAACAAAATCCTAACATATCAAAATATCACTTTACGTCAACTAACTAATCCGCCATACATTTCAAATTTAAAGCTCCACAATGATTTTAATGTTAAAACGATCGAAGAAGAATGAGTAACTTTTTACAAGCGATTTTTCTCACGCGTGGCAAATCATAATAATCCATTAATAAGCAACTTAAATACTTTAGCGCTCCCTAATAATCCTCGACGCCGTCTGAAAAAGCGATGGTGCAGAAATCTATTGCAATAAAAATTTCACTTAACCTCGTCTCTTTCCCAATTTCTTGTACCTCAACATTTCACAATCAACCCTCATGCTAAGTCACAAGTGAGTGACTTCTTAATCACGTCTATCATGTTATTTGTAAGTCTCTTATCACATATACCTATCGTGCTACTTTAGTATAGGTTGTATATTTCTTGTACATAAAAACAAAAAAGAATTAATCTGGAAATATAATATGCCAGAAAATGTTACCGGTTCGCATATTATTCGTTCGCTGATAATTAATAATATTATTGCGTGGGGAATTATTATAGTTTATTTCATTGTAATTTCTATACTTATAATTTTCCCTCTCGGAATTATATTCAGCTTCCTCGGCTTTGGCTAACTGTTTTGCTATTTCAAGAGTTTTTGGACATTGTGATTTTACTATCGTTCTAATCGGATTTATTAAGCCCTTAATAAAAATTGCTAATGTTTGTTCTTTTAACGTTTCGTGTATTATTCTCGCTTCCGAATCTATTTTATTAAGTGTACTTGCAGTACATAGTTTATAATATAATTTTTCTACTCTATGACAGTACTCATTTACATCTTCGCCATTGCGCATTTTAATCGAATTTAGTTGTATTTGTAAGCTAGATGCAGTTGTTAGATCCTCAAACGCGTCTGTTAAATAACTTTTAATAAATGTCCACTTGGTCACATTTTTATACCGTATCATTTCTAACGCTCTACCAGTTAATCTGGTAGTAATATATTTCACTAACGTTGGTGCACATTTTTCTTCGACTAGACTCACTGCCATGTCACATGCATTAATAAATGGATATATGTCATCCTCGCCTGTGCATAAAGGTATTAATTTAAATGCGTCCTCTAATTTTATAGTAACCATTTTTTTATTTCGTAACTTTTTATCAAATAATAACTCTGTGTGTTCAAAACTATCAGTAACTTTACTGCGTGTAGTTCTACCTGACTTATTATCTAAGCTACTACTTCTAGTTAAAATAGGTTTCTCTTTTTTAGTTTTTACTTTATTTTTATCTGGACTGTCGAAATTTATTAACCTATGTGTAACGTTTAATATTTCTTTTTCAAGATTAGATTTATCTTTTTCTGTGTTATACGATGGATTATCTAATTCCAAAGGAGATGTATCTTTTCCTTTATTGTCCATAAAATGCCTTTAATATTCATTCAATACACCCTTCATTACTTCAATTAATAATTCTCAATATATATATACCCTTTAATAATATTCAATAATAATTCTCATAATAATCTCAATATACTTCAATAATAATTCTCAATAATAAACCTCATAATAATAATCTCATAATAACAATAACTCTCAATAGTTAAATCTCAATAATAATCACAATAATATTCTTCAATAATAATAACCTCAATAGGCTTCAATAATAAACTCAATAGTTTCAATAATAATCTCAATGACTTCAATAATAATCTCAATAGTTTCAATAATAATCCTCAATATAATAACTTCAATAATAATCTTCAATAACTTCAATAATAATCCTCAATATAATAACTTCAATAATAATCTTCAATAACTTCAATAATAATCCTCAATATAATAACTTCAATAATAATCTTCAATAACTTCAATAATAATCCTCAATATAATAACTTCAATAATAATCTTCAATAACTTCAATAATAATCCTCAATATAATAACTTCAATAATAATCTTCAATAACTTCAATAATAATCCTCAATATAATAACTTCAATAATAATCTTCAATAACTTCAATAATAATCCTCAATATAATAACTTCAATAATAATCTTCAATAACTTCAATAATTATCCTCAATATAATAACTTCAATAATAATCTTCAATAACTTCAATAATTCAATAATAATAATCTCAATAATAATCTTCAATATAATAACTTCAATGGGTTTTAATAATTGACTGAATGGGCTTTTATATATGTTCTACTCTAACACCTACACTACTATTATACTTGATTACCTTAAATAAATTCCATACGCCTCTATTGTACATACGTCTATGTAACAATATTTAATAAAATATTCACTTACAATAAAGCGGTATTTGCTGATGATGCCATGATCCTTTTGAAATCGCTGCACTTGTTTTGCTTGGAACCTTCCTTCGGAGTTGCTGATGAAGAAGAGTGATCAATTCCTCTTGTCAACGATGGACCTTTGATGGTTTTGCCTCCTTGAAAATCCTAAACCGACTGCGCCAGAAATGTTGTGTGCGTAATCTCAAAGGCTCCAAAAGCCGTAAGCTTTAGAGACAAATCAACAAGTACCAAATTGAACTATAGAATTATGTTTATTCAGCAGAAAATATAGTAATAGTACAATAGCGTGTGCGCGTGTGACGAGAAGTTGCTCAGGTCTCCGTGGCAATGATACATCTGCCCAGGCTGTCACACGGACTCCCTTATAAATGGTGGCGGCTCCTTTGATGTAGCGGCACGTGCAGTTTGTATGTGTTCGTGTTTTCGGTTGTTATTGCCAATTCTTAGATTAGCGATTAACGATTCTTAGAATTGCGAATCGTGTCCACGATTTCTAGTCATGTACCTGTCCAGTGTTTTATTACATAGATAGGTGAAGATAGTACATATTCATCATTATAATATTTAATTAATATTTAATCATTATAATATTTTAATTACATATACGGAGTTCAAGACCGTAATAACATTAAGGTCAATATATTCTATATTAATTATAGCGAATAGGGTGCCTAGAGCGTCAAGGCCCGCAACAAGTGTATGAGATGGAGACAACACATGAAGGTATGGCACCCTCTTAATAAGAAGTGAGCAGCATGGGAATATGACACGAGCTGCAAGTTGGCCATATAAGGTCTAGTATAAGGATCACACCCATACTAAAAAGTAGAAATTACACGGCGCAAAAGCCCCAGGGAGTTTTATTTTCATATCAGTTTGTATTGATACTATGGATAGTGCATTTTTTATATTTAGTTATATTTAAAAATATTTGAGAAAAATAATGTTCAGATAGTATAATAATTTAAAAAATAATAAGATATAATATATAAAATCATTTAAATGTAGATAATTGCTTTACAGCTATCATTAATTGTGAATAATTATTGTCACCAACACTATTTCTTAACAATGTACTATACATGTTTTTCAGCTCATCTTCTTTGTCAGCTAACCATCTATAGAAACATAAATAATTTTGAATTACTATCACATAATTGTATTTAAAACACAGTAATATCTTTCCTCATGTTGAACAAAACATAATATACCAATATACAATATACATAATCATTTAATAATGATTCATAACAGTGTCACTTACTTAACTTCCTTAACTGATGATCTATCCAAGGCTAATTGGATCATACATTTCAAGAGTTTAAGCACATTTTCTTCCAGGATTAATAAAAAATGTAGTTTTCTCATTTCAAAATGTAAATCATCTTCTATAGCTAAGTTAGGCTCCTCGGTTTGGTCAGTACTATATAAATATTTCATTGTGTCCTTATTTTCCGAAAACATTTGAAACACAGAAACACATTTTCTCAATGTTTCTATAATAGACTTTACATATTTAAGATTCCGTATACCTGAGTTGTAAATAACAGTAATAATAATGATAATTAAAGAGGTTAATCTCTTTTTATTAAATAAATTTAACATATTACAAACCTATTGTTCCATCAATTAAGCCCATATCTAATGTTATCATTTTTATGAGTACCTCAAAAGATTCCAATGGACGATCTATTTTAAAAAAGATTTCAAATGAAATATTACAGTAAGACTTAATCTGAATGAAAACAGGATGCAGCTCAGGCGACTTCTTAGTAATACATTGTCTAGAAATTAAACATAAACTTGCTTGAAACAAGTTATAACTAGAGCTAGGATTTTGGTGACTTTTGTATTTCTTTTTGCATTTATTGCATTTTTAAGCTCATTTTTAAAAATACTTCATTTATTTTGTATATTTAAACTAACTTTTGTTTATTTTAAGTTTTTTAATGTATGGTTGCATAGGTAATCTCAATTAGTACCTGAAGTACCCTTATAAAAATAGTACCTTTGAACTTATATCAACAACATACCATAATATTATCGCTGTTATACATGTTTTCAATAAAATTATTTTCACCTGTTGGCAAATTGGGAAAGTTGAAACTATATTAATAAAATAATATTAAAAATATTTTAAAACTAGTACATTTTTCGGCAAACTGAGTTGTCTACAAATTGGGTTTCGGCAATGTGGGTATGAATCGAAAAGGAGTAATATAATTAATTAAACCCACAAGTCAACTCAAATTTGAATATATTTGTTTGATTTACATCTTAAAACAAATTTTTACCTTATTTGTGTGGCATAGAAATTAAATAAATAACAATTTATAGTTAATAAAAATATTTATTTTAAAATTAAATATATTTTGCTCATGTATGCACATTTTTTGGCCATTTTTAAAGTTAATTCTTTAGAGTTTTAGGGTCATTTTTGCATTTTTTTTTGTGCATTTTTGTGTAATTTTTAGGTCATTAAAATCCTAGTTCTAGTTATAATATATTATACAATTTATTATTTTAAATAATGACAACTCACAGTGTAACAAAGTAAAATTACTATATTTTAATATTGACATATTATTATAAAATAAAATAGTCTACATACCCTAAGCGATCAGAAGATAAAGATGCTAAGGCAAAGTGAATATATGCTGCTTGATATTCATATAAAAATTTATTGGGCGATTCATTTTCCAAATCGCAATATTTCAAAGCTTCCATGAATAAATTGATACATTCCCTATAGTTATTAGAACTGCACTAGAGGGCGAAAAAATGATTTTGATTACAAAATATGTTATATACAAACCCCATAATTGTATACGTACTCTGCAAATGGCTAAATATTCGTTTACAGCCACATGAAACAGGGTTGAAGATAATTTATAGTAAACCATATCCCATTGTTGTGAATTAGAACTGCGGTCACCCATCTCCAACAATCTTTTCTTGTAAGCATTTCCAACCTTATATTTCATAAAAAATGCATTACATTATCAACTGAAATGTATCATTAAATTATTAACCTAACCTTGAAATTGATCATCTCTTTTTTTATAAATGTATTGATAGGAACTATATATTTTGTTGAATAATGTGCTAAGTATCCGTACAAATTTTCCAAGTTCGAATTTATCAGTGCAAAATTATCCTTATCATCAACTGTTTTAAATATATGGCTTCCCAACATACAAAAATTCTTAGATTTTTTTGTAAGCCATTTTAACTTTAAAGGACTTAGAGGAATATTCTTGCTTATAGCAACTATATAAAAACACAAAATTAAACAATGAAATAAACATCATAACATGAAACATTTATACATTATAAATTATACTTCAACTTACGTAATATTTCTTCCATGTAAATTTTAATGTATTCGTTGTAAACTATACCTATTTGTTTATTCAAATTATTTTTGTTATTAATATTTGTTTCCAATGCCAAAGCGCGTGTGTAACAATGCTCTGCTGAGCTCAACATGCTTTCTTTTGAATTATTGAGGCTTGTCGGTATTAAATTTAAATCTATAACATGAAAATGAAATATAATACAGTTTAAGTAATAACCAACATCAAATATTATTTGATTACCTTTATTAGTGCCATTAGAACTATTTAGTAATGCTTTTCTTAGTTCAAAATCATAGTTTTCATCAGTTTGAAGCTCGCTAGAGTACTGTTCTATTTTATCCCAATATTTAAGAATAGACAGACAACAATTGCCACAACGGTCTAATATAGGCCCCAATAGATGGTTGACATTAGTGTTGGCCACACATAATTCACATTCAAGTGATCGCCGGAAACATTTTAAAGCCATTCCTAAGCTAAAGTTTATGTGTTATAATTACAAAATATATGTTTATCATTTAACAATTTTAAATCTTTTTTGCTCATCTTACTTGTTGGATGTAAGGCATTTTTCACCGAAGTTAAAATATGCATCAGAAGCTTTTTTATAGAGCATCAGTCTGAGGTGATTTCCAAAAGTTACATCCCCAGCATTAGGTGGATTATTCCAACGTGTCGTATTATTCTTTCCTATCATTTCAGCATCAACATACGGCATAGGTATAGTTGTGCTACTCTTGTCCTTGGTCATCAATGTTTGTCCCACCTTTTTCAAGATAAATTTGAAATTTTTTTATAAGTCAATAATTTGATACATACCATAATATTTTTATCTTTCTTAACATATGGTAAACAATTCAAACTTCTCCCAATATAATATAATGCCTTGTAATAACATTCTTCTTTAGTTTTTACAAAAGGTTTTGACGTAGGGTAATCCGGTACTAGAATAATACATAATTTTGAATTGTAAAACATGAATTGTCTTCAAACATATCAAATAATTTAAAAAAATAAAAAAACAACAAACATTTACCTGAGGATACATTTTCTTTCTTATGTAGTACACATAAATTTTGTACGTCAATAGAGTAGGTCCCATAATCAAATTGAGTTGAAGAAATGGCAGAATCGTCATGACAAGTAGCAGAGTACTTGTCCACTTCAGTTGAATCTACTATTACAGTGCTTGATGGATTATTATAAATTGAAATATACATATCAGATAACATGTAATTTATAGATGTAACAATCTGAAATTAGGAAATAATATCTGTGATTAGAACCGCAACATACATTATGAGTCAATAGTAATTACTTGAGGATATTTAGTTTTATCTAATAATTGTAGACAATTGTTTAATAAAAGTTGAATAGTAACAGGACTATACAGTTTTTCATCTTCTGGATTATATTTTAATGTACAAGCAACCCGATATAATAAAATAGCCACTGGAACTGTAAATGGATTTGGGCTACCAGTTAATGATTCAGAACACAATGTTGTCAAATCATAAAGTTTTACGAGATTATCATTTTTTCCTGTAATTGAATGGGTTAAATTCATAATAATCTATATTTTTACATATGTTTCTGATAATGGAGTAATTATTATACCTTTAAATAACCAGTATGTATGTCCAACACAATTAGCATTTGATTTTAAAAATGATAATATATTTTGCATAATAGTACTTATATTCTCTGGTGAAAATGTTGAGCCATTCAAAGATGGTAAATCTTCAGTCTTTACTAACTCATACTTCTGGATAATACCATTTAAATGGTAACACAATTCAGTTTCAGGAATATCACACATTAAATTATCTAGCCAATAATCAATCCCAGTTAACACACTTAGAGGTTTTGACATGTCTCTGAAAATTAAAAAAATAATATTTGTATCTTACTCAATAAAAATAAAATAATTAAATATTAGTAATTAAATATTAAACCTTAATCTTGAACTTAAAGATGAATTTTTGCTAGTTCCAAAAATTGGTAAATCTGTACCTATTAACATTTGTATGTCGTCAAAATTCCATAAGAAATGCCGGTTAAATAATTGATTATTAGATAGTTTCACTTGGGGACCATCTGGATATACTTCTTCTGGTGAAATTTTTGGTAGAGTAGAAGCAAACTGTATATAGTTTATACACTAATTATTAAGAAAAATATTTGACTAAAATATATGGTAATGCTTAAAATAAACTTACTGGAGAAGTTTCATTACGAAAAATTGTAGTTTTCATTTGATCATTATGAGAATCTAATGCAATGGTATGGTGCAAAAACTTTGACACCAAATCTTTATGTAGAATAGTTCTAAGAGAATTCAGTTTATAAGTTATACATTTCACCTATTGTTTATAAATAAAAATACAAAACATTAGATTCAATACAACACAACTTACAATTTACTAATTAGTAACTGTTGATATCCATCTAAATTTGTATTTTTAACTGTGGCATTTTAGAATTAATATTGTAGAAAATGTGAAGTTCTAAGAAATTAATTAAATATTAACAACTTATTGAACTTTATAACCCAATGTTTTCTTATTTCATTAATAACTTTTTTCATACAAAATAGTGAGTTGTCTGCTATTACAAGAGAAACACTATTTTCTAAATGCCATATTTTGTATGTTTTAGTTTTTAGTGCACACAATTCTTGAGAACTATATTATTTATATATTCATGTATTTAATATAATTATTTCATGACAAAGAATCTAAAACCTTTATTGGAAAGTCTCTTAATACTATAATTTAACTCAACTTTATCTCGTCTTTCATGCTTGTTGTTGAGTTACTATTGAACACATGGCATACATATAAATTATATTAAAATGCTAAATATGACTAAATAATAAAAAATGTATGTGTGCTTACCATAATATCAGAAGACCCTACAATATTGTTGTAAAAGAATTTTTTTAACCAGCCCCATTCATTGTTTGTTTCTACAATCAAGTATTTCTGAACATCAAATTCATCTAATAGTAATGTCTTATCAACTCTATGCACCATTATGCTCACCTTTAAAATAATTTGAATAATTTAGTTCTAAAGATAATAGAGTGAAACAAAAATTATTTATTTATTATAATAACTAATTAGTGAGGGTGGGGAAGGGGGTAAACCATGAGCTTTAGTAGGTGTAAAAATATTAGGAAATACTTTGAAAGTAAGTGAAAGTTTAAGGTAGTACAAAGAGGTGAATGGAAATACGAGGAGATAATGAGGAAATATTTACAAGCAAATAAATAAAAAAAGGTAGGTACCTAAAATATTAAAATAATAATTTCAATGTTTGAACTGAGAAATAAGTACATGCAGATATATTAAGGTGAGCGAAAGGGTACCATCAAAAACAGCTGTCCCAAGAAAGTTGAAAAATGAAATATACCTGGGGCTGAATTGAAGCAGACCGACTGAGTAGTCCGCATACTGAATTACACTCAAACCATAATACAAAAAGTTTCTGAGAGCATTATTTTAAATTTATTCATTTCTTATGAGTCAATACAGTGGCGTACTCACGGGGGGGGGGTTCATGGGGTTTGAACCCCCCCCCCCCCCATTGGCCGTATTTTTTATATTTCATATGGGTATCACAATACAATATTTTTTATTATTAAGTGATTAAATTAATATATTAAACATCGAGATAGACAGGACACGTCAAAGGAACACAAAAAATTGTGTCTGAAAAGTTCCCTAAGGCTATATATGTTCACTGTGCAGCCCATTCTCTAAATCTGGCTGTATCTGCTGCTTGTGATATACGATCAATTAGGAACTGTTTGGGTATTGTTGAAAAAATGTACTGTTTCTTCAACACACCTAAACGACAAGATATGTTATTAAGTGAAATTGAAGAAAGTGACTTTAATCCTAAATCGAAATCATTAAAACGCCTATGTGCCACAAGATGGGTTGAAAGATATTCGGCAATTCATGACTTTGTGGAATTATATTCCTGTGTGGTCAGTGCGCTCGATAAGATATCTGAGTGGAAAGACTCAACAGCTACAGATGCTAATATCCTGTCAAAATCTATGGATTCTGATTTTTTTGTCTCTTTACAAGTTATTAAGGTGATTAATGAATCAAAAATGTTTTTTTTTTGTTCAACTTCAATTTTTATTTTATTATTTAGGAGTTGTTTGGATATGGTTTGCCTCTATGTAAACTATTACAAAAAGTTGAACTTGATTTAAAAGAAGCTGTAGACTTAGCTGAAGTGACTGTGACAAGTATTCAATGTTTACGTGATAATATAGAACAAGAGTTCAATAAAATGTTCAGAGAAGCTGAGGTAAAGATTTTGATAAAATGCAATTATTTGACAAAACGATTATTATTATTTTTTCAGAAAATGGCTGATGTGGTTGGCGTGAGTATTTCAATTAAACGTCAGAATAAAATTAACAAAAATCGAGCAAACCTCTGCATTGATAATATTACACCAGAAAAATATTATCGTATAACAATAGCCATACCATTTATTGATTCTTTTATAGAACAATTAAATGAAAGGTTTTTGAAGCACAAAAATATATTAAAAGGCTAGTTATACCTATTTTATTTCATTTATAAATTAATTAATTTTTAGTATTTAAAATATATTTTTCTTTTGTTAGGATTTGGGTGTTTATTTTCTAAACCCTTTACTCAAGAGTTTGACGAACTGGTTCAGTATTACCTAGATACCGATCTACAAATTGTTACAGCCGAATTACTACTATGGCACACTAAATTGGAGAGAAATAAAGAAGAACCGAAAAATGCATTAGAGGCGTTAAGACTGTGTAACAATGAAATATTTCCTAATATCCATCGCCTGATTAAAATTCTGTGTACTATACCAGTATCTACAGCAACGCCAGAGAGGACTTTTTCTTGTCTTAAAAGACTTAAAAACTATTTACGTAGTACAATGACAGAGGTATTAACTTTTATTTACAAACATAATGTTTGGTTAAATTTATAAGTATACCTAAACCTAATGTATCTGTTAAAATATTTTAGACTCGTCTTAATGGACTCACAATGTTGGCAATTCATGGGGATGTGCCACTAACAGCTGAGGAAGTGGTGGACGATCTGGCAAAAAAGCCAAGGAAATTAGACTTTATATTATAATGTGTTATTGTGTTAAAATATATATAATTTTTTTAAATAGTGCAAAATTTGTAATTTTTATAACTACGGGGGGTGTGGGGGGGCAGAGCCCCCCACTTTCGTATTCTAGTAAATTTTCAGAGCCCCCCCCATTGAAATTTCCTGAGAACGCCACTGAGTCAATATATGTACAAAATCTATAAGGTATATTAATACATTGAATATTTTTTTATATATATGATAATAGATGCTTATCAGTTGATAACTGGATAAATTTATACATACAAATCACAAAAAAAAACTATTTAGATCTATTTTCAACAAAACAAAATATTAAGTACTTATTTCAATTCACTGTCTAGACTTTATATCAGTTTTTAATAATTTTAATCTCATTAATTTCAAAAACAATATAATGTTATAAATTAAGTTAACATTTGAATTAAGAATGCAATGTTTATTATTTATTATAAACTAATGTAGGCACCTATAATAAGCCTAAACTCTATTATCCTAACTTAAACATTTAAGTTTGGTTAATAATTTAAAATCCATTTTTATATGTATGAGACGTTATATCATAGACTGAAAATTAGGCACCTATAATAAGCCTAAACTCTATTATCCTAACTTAAACATTTAAGTTTGGTTAATAATTTAAAATCCATTTTTATATGTATGAGACGTTATATCATAGACTGAAAATTAAAAAATGTAAACAATTGTCAATTTTTACATGTCGAGACTTTTTAAATGATTTCCAAAATGAAAATGTATCATACAATTATTCATATAACAAATATTTTAATTATTTTAACATTATTTAGTTCTGCTCGTTAAACATAATTTGATGGCTAATCGCACAATTTTATTATAATAGTCACAAAATTTAAATTCTAAGGTAGAGTAGATTTAGATTTTAATTTTCTTATAACAGGCCAAACTTATGTTATATATTTTAATTAATTAGTTTTTTCTTAATTGAAATTAACTTAAAAATACATGTAGTTTTGTATTAATATATGACAAAATTAATTTACATTGAAATAGTAGTACAACAACAACTTCTTGTAAATAAATTTACAAACAATTAAAATAATATTTAAAGTAGGTATTGTTCAATATTAAATTGTTTTAATTTCTGATTTAGTAAATATTTCTTGTTATAATTGTAATTTGTATTATTTAAATTTTCTGTTAAAATAAATAGGTAAGCACGCACCTCTATTGTTAAATTATATTGTGTAACATTTTTATCTACTAGTTTTAAAATAACATTTTATATTTCTTTCACTCAAATCAAATTATGTAATATTTATTGGATTATTTATGATTTAATGAACATATTGTCCTATGTCATTCAAATTCCATGATCAATATGTATTTGATTTCAAATTTTAGATTTTTTGGTAATTTTTTAACCATAAATTTTCCTATAGGTATATAATATAATATAATATACAGAGATAGACTAGGACTCCTGGCTTTTCTATCTTTTCATTATCATGACCAATATTTATCCCCAAACATATATTGTGAATATAGATAGGTTAGGAAGTTTACGGAAATACTGGGATGTATATGGAATTACTGGGAAGTATATGAAAATACTGGGAACTATATGGAAGTACACAAAAGTATAAGAAAGTACATATAATTGGAAGTCAGGTGTAAAAAAAATTGACTAGTGGTTTACGCCGCATTAAATAATATTTAAATATCTTATGTAGATTCATCCATCCATACTTTAAAAGAATATTTTCAAATGTAGGTATTAATAAAATAATTAAGCACAATAAAATAAACAGGTCTTTTAATACATCATAAATGTATGTATATATAGTAGGCACTTAGCAGAAATATTTAATATAATTAATATTTACTTACAGAATTTTCATTATATGGTATCTTACACAGGTTCTTAATATTTTCTGCATCTGATACTATGTCCACTTTGCCAATGCATTCATGAAACATACTAGCCATTTGAAAACTAAAGAACATAAACAATATTTATTGAATGTTTTAGTATTTGTGAAGAATAATATTCAGTATACTTCTCACCTAGAAAAAGCATGAAAATTACTAGATGTCATGTATCGCATGCCAAAAGATTCTTCTTTCTCGCATAACCAATTCGGTGGAGGTAAATTTAGATTAGTGTGAAGCTTTTGGCGAATAAAATTGGGAGTCTGAACTGTAGAAAACTTTAGTACTGATTTTGATCTAAATTTACCACGTTTATCATTAAAAGTACTGTGCTGAGTATTTCGTTTGTCCTAAAATTAAAACACACATAATCAACTAAAAAGTAAATTGTTAGGTACCTACTCTTAAGATGTGCAGAATTGTGGAATGACAATGGCATTGAATGTATAATGACATATTATAAGCATAGTTGTATACTTTGATGATTATGAAACACACCATCAAATATTACAATGGAGGCATTCGTTTGATATAACTTAACCCTATCGAGCAAACATATTCGCAAAATCTTAAAATATTACATCAACTCACCATGATGGTAGAAGTTTAGTTCCTAAATGGAAAATCAGACAAGTATGATCGCACACAACAGTTGTCTGATGAGTGATTTTCAGTAGTACAGTCTCACACCTGTAATATTAATATGGACACCACGATTACGGGAAAAACGAAAAAATACACCAAATTTCGATAATCCGACGAGACGACTGCATTGACAAACAGGACGCGAGATCATATTATGACGGTTAAAGACCTCACACTGTACGCAACAGACTTTTCAACAGTTGTAGAAGCAGTATACGTGTACATAGTAAAATAGACTATAATATATAATAATTTAATATATTATAATATAGGTATATAGTGTTGAAGACTGTGGCATTACAGTCATCAAAATAATTGTTGAATTGCGTCCCGACTCACGAATGCTAGAGAACACAATCACGAATAGCAGTGTCTAATTACTTATCAGTTAAAGATAGTAATAGATAACCGTGATTTTATTTATGTATCAAAATATCAACAAGTAAACAAAACTGTTTTTATCGTCAGCTGGGCTGAAAGTTGAAACTAAATATTACATTATTAAGCTCGGACGGTCTTGATGGCGGCGTTTGCATTATTATAATATCATACTATTATGATATGATAGTACGTAAGGGGATCCTTGGAGTGGTGCTGCCAAAGACATCTACCACCGCCTTCGTTACCGCACCCCACGCCACCACCTTGGGCACTATGGCTAATAACTATGCTACGGCGCCATTTTGCCACACATTTGTCATTATAAATATGAAATAACCCGCGTTTATTTTATCACTTTTATATTGATATAAATGAGTCTTAAAATAGTGGCATAGCAAAGCCATTATGTAAAGAGCCCTACCCCATCAAGACCGAGGCCGTAATTGAAAAAAATTCGAGGAGGGGATTCAATATTTTCTTTATATAGATACTGGACACATCATTTTCGCGTTCTAAAAATAAAATTGTTTTCAACTTTTAAAAATTTAGGGGGGTCCAGCGCCTGGGCCCCATTCCATTTACTGCCTTGCACCACTCGTCACTGCCACCGCATCAATCATTATCCGGCACTTCCCCACCACCACCGTTACACCGCCACCCCATCACCCCATCACCACCAACACCCTCATATTTTAATTAAATTACTTACCATAAATATTCGTAATATTTGATTATGTTTTATTGTTCAGGTTAATTTATTACAAAAAAATTGTATTTTTTTCTATTGGGCTCCAAACCCGTTCATAAATAAATAAATAAAATAAATAAAATAAATAAATATTTTTTATAGATATGTTTTTTTAAGAGTTTTTTCACATCCGCAAGTGTTGTCTCTGTCTTACATACGTACAATATAGCACAAAATGTTTAGAGCGGGGTAGAACCACTCACGCAGTAGTTCAAGATAATCAATCAAAATATGTCCACACTATAAAGAGGAGAACATTTACTGTGCAATTTTTCGGTATCACAAATACAAAACATATTATTCAAGTTTGAAGACCAAAAATGGTTTTTGCTATGTCGTACGCGAGTAAGAAGGGGACAACACACGTGGGTGTGACATCCTTTCTACCCAATATATATTTATTAATTATTATAAAATTTTGCCCTCGTATAGGAACTAACGCAAACACTTTGTTTTACCGTGTTGGAATTTACACATCTCATATTTATATTCGTGTAGGAACTAACGTATATGTATTTTTTCCTCTGGTAGTTCTCGTGTAGTAACTTACATTAATTGCCCCTTTACTTACTCTTATCAAATAAAAATACTTATATAATACCAAATATAAATAATACATTTATGCATACTTACCTAGTAGATAATATTATAGAAATTATATAAAAATCAGGAAGATTATTAAATTTTTTTAACATATTAAATAGATATTACCTCTACTGGTATAGTGGTATCTATATTCATTATTCATTGTGTATATTTTGATAAATACTTAATTCAAGTATTAGTATAATACAGTGATATAATATAATCATATAGTTTTTTTAATAATCGAACATTAACTATTGTCAATTATAATCTACTATCTAGTGGATAATAATAATATTGGTAATAGAGTAATAGTATACATAATAAATAGCTAAGTACCTATACTTTAGATTAAATAGTGTATGAAGTATAGTGATTTACAATTTAGAGGCAGAGATTAACTGTAGATCAGTGGTGCGCAACCTTTTTTGATCCACGACCCCCAAAAATAATTTATTTTTTAATACGACCCCCCTTCCTACCAACATTATGTAAGTGTACAGTGGGAGCGTCGATTATCCGCACGTCAATTATCCGGCCCGTCAATTATCCCCACAATAAAATGTATATTATGTAAAAATTTATTTTTAGTTTAATTTTATTTAATTTTATCAATCGTTAAGTTCCTTTTATCGTGTACTATAGTCTATAATGTATAATGCTATGTTATATATATTATTGTTATATTATGAAATACGAGATTATCTTATTATCTACTACGGCTCTCTCCAATGTAGATAATATGTTTGTACGTTGTAATCTTAAATTTAGTTGGTTCGTTTGAACCTAAATAATTTTCAATGGTTGTTTGATTACCCGCAAAAATCGATTATTCGCACCCCCTCCGGTCCCAATTAGTGCGGATAATCGACGCTAAACTCTATAATATTAATTTACTTCATAGTCTTAATGTATACAAACAAATAATTCATATAAATTAAACCGTTCATTTTAATATTTCTTTAATTTAATTAATCCAAAACATGAGAAAAAAATACAAAATTAGAGTTATATATTATAAAATTTAAAATTAAAAATCTACTAAAATTATATTATAAGAAAATCAACATTTTAATATTTTTAAATTTGTAGGGTTTATATTTTATATTAATCTACACTACTATATTTCTGTGTGTAATTGCGGGTTTTCTGGTGATCGGCGTTATCGATCAATGTGAATCGACCGTCGTCCGTATCTAGACCGGTCGAGCGATATTTATATATTATTAATTAATTGTTTTGTATGTGTGTGTATGCCGATCGGCCAGACGACCTGCGTACAGCTATTATATTACAGTCTGTTTTGAGATACGCGTCGCGATGACCGATTCGCTCTCAATAAAAGTTATAAAGGAAAGCATTTTTGGTTGTTAATTATTATGATTTTGTCTACGTTTATATGAACCCCTCTTACAGTTTTCAGAAGTGGGATTAGGGATCGCACGTGTAATAATTTTTTTTTTTTTACTTATGAATGTGAATGTTAATTTAAATGCTTAATTAGTAATTTTGAAAGTACAATAAGTTGATTTAATAAATACGGGAGATGTCGAATACCAATAATACCGTCAGTATGACTACTCGTGCTCGCACGAATGAAACTAAGAATGATGGCGAACGGAATGAAGGAAATTTGAATGTCATGGGTATTGCACAACGGAACGAAAATGCACAAAGTGTTGTGGTACTAACTGAGGAAAATTCGCAGCACAATGTATTCGCCAATGGAGAGACAATAGGTGAACAAAATAATTCGACAAATACCTCGCAAAATGGATCGAACGTCGAGAGCGTAAATGCAGTCGATACGAACGCTATGCTCAATACGCTGATGGTGCAAAATAATATGCTCATGGAGTTATTAAAATTGCAACAAAATAAACCACTCAACGATATAACCATTGCTCCGGATTTAAATAAGTCGATACCGGCTTTCAATGATCTCAACACTGGTTATCAAGCGTTAGACTGGTTGCGGACTGTGAATGGAGTTGCCAATTTACATCGGTGGCCCGATAATTTTAAGTTACAATCCGTACGAGCCAACCTAGAAGGTGCAGCCCGACATTGGTATGCGTCACGTGACATCGAAAACTGGCCGGATTTCGAAAGACAATTCCACAAAACATTTGTTGGTACCGTTATGACCGGTAACCGGTGGAAAGAAATGTCCTGTCGTGTTCAAGTTCGAAATGAAAACGTCCACGAGTACTTCCACGAAAAAGTACACCTATGTAAAATGGTTGGAATGTCTTTCCATGAAAT